GATTAAAGAGATTTCATCAAAACTTTCAAAAACATTCAAAGTCACCTAAAAAATAATAATATTTAAAATTAAAAATTAAAATAAAATTTATAAAAAATTAAATAAAATATATATAAATTAATTGCAAACTGCTTTAATTTTAGAGGCCTCCGGAATACTGTAAAAGTTATCAAAATATTTAGACATATCTAATATTTAAGATTTATTTAAGCTTTCATTAGATTTATTATTAGATTTAACTATCAATATATATTTATTGACATGCCTAAAATAATTTGAACATCTTTAAAAAAACTTTTTACAAAACAAACATCTATAAAACATTTTGATGAACTTCAAAGTATTCTAAAGATCATAAAATAGTTCTGATCAATAAAAAATAAATAATTTTAGTTAATAAAAAACAAATGATTTCAGTCAATGAAAAATTTAATTTAAATTTACATAAATTGTATAAACATATTTTCATGTTATATCATAATTTAATATACTGGAGTTTTTAAAGAAATTACAATTTATAATAAAGAATTATGAAAAAAGTTATAATATATGACAACATTTTATGATTACATTTTAAAAATTATTTATATATAAGGTTTCTAAATTTTCATTTTTTTAAAAAAAATGTCTAAACAAAAACAAAACAGGTATAATAAATTTAATGCATTAATTATAGGTTCTAAGAGAAAATTGAAGAAATACAATCCTAGTAAAGAATGTTTGAAGAAGTCCAGAAAATCCAAAAATAATTCAATAGATGTTGAAAACATATAGGGAACTATACAACATGAAGGCATTGAAGAGTCACAAAAGCATATAAAGACTCTTGAAGAGGATTCAAAAGTAACTATGCAAGTAAATAGACAACTATGGGCTTAGGAAGAAAATGAAAGATTTTTAGATATATTATATTAGTATAAATACATTTTTAATCAATATTAATCAAATCTTCTTTAGTATTGGTGAAGTCTCTCAAAGTGTTTACAAAACAAAGTTCTTTAATCTTAAGAAAAATTGATTTTATAATTGATTACCAAAAGATCTTGGAAGATAAAATTACCTGCCTGGAAAATAAACTGCATTCATAAAACAATATCATTACAGAATAAGACTTTATAGAGATATAAAAGTCTATAGAATACTTTGGAGAATTTAAATAATTTTTTTTTTTAGCATGTCATCAAGAACATTGCAAGGGAACTGTTTATTGAAAAAGTTTATCCAGAACCCATAGAATATCATGAAAAAGCAGAGAATTTTTTTAGTCATAAACATTTAAAGTTTTTTGACAGATTATTATAAAAGCAATAGAAAATATATTATGAAAAATATATTTACTAATTGGTAAGATTTTAAAATATGCATAATACTTTGAAGTAAATTAAATACCAAATATATTTTTTAATAGCTTTTAAGATAACATCGATCGAATCGTGATACTTTGGCTTCAAGAATTTGGGATACAATGTTTATGATATTTGGCAAAATATTGTTAAATTCAATTAATATTGTAGTTGGCTCTACCGATATTACAACATGGAAAAATTTACCAAAAACTGTAAAGTGCTTTAAAAAACTATTTAAAAACAATACATATAAAAGTACTTATATGGTGCAAATTTTCAAAAAAGTGTGACCTAAAGAAAAAATCTTTGATGAGCATATTGCTTTTGCAATATTTATATGTGAAATGATTTTGAATTCTGAAAATGATATAATTCAAATTAAAAAAAATTTGATGAAATCTGAAAATATTAAAAAACAAGATAAATTTATATTTTAATTGATATAATCTAATGAAATTTATTTAATTTTACAATGCTATAGGAAAAATTACAAAACAACAAAGCATTCTATAGAAAATTATCAAATTCTGATAATGATAATAGTATAGACAATGAACAAGCTACTATTATGATTTAAGGAACATTGCAGAAAAGTAAATTAATATGAAATACTTTGGAAATGAGTATAGACAATATGATAATTATATTTATTTTAAAAATTTTTAATAATCTATATGTTTTAGAGCAAAAATAATGATAATAAATAATAATTTAAATATTATATAATATTAATAAATAAATATTAATAAAAAATTTTAAAACATGTAAAATTGTCTATTATATTATCAATTGGTATAAAAAAATATACATTAGCAAAAACGTAAATAACAATAAATATAAATCTTCAGAGTTCTCTGGAGAAAATAAAGTATTCTGAAAAATATATATATAATTTCTGTTTCAGAGATCTCTAACAAAAACAAAAATCTTTGGAGATTTATACTATGGAGATTTCTAGAGATTTTTGTCATATTAATTTTATTGATGTGGATTTACTTTCAAAGTGTATATTATGTTGTCAGGTTTAAATATAAATAAGAGTAGCAGATTAACTTAAATGAATCATAGTAATACTGTAATTGGATATAAATAATTCAATAAAATCATGTGATGTATGTACTTTTTATTTCAAAAAAAAAATTAGTTTATTTATTAAACAATTTATATTTTATATTTTACAATAAAATAAAATCAATATAATAAATTATTAAATTGAAAAAAATCTATTGCATAGGTTTTTAATAATAGTATTGAACAATTACAAATTATATTGTTATAAATATCAAATTAATTTTGATTAATTAACATTTTAACATAATTAAAACTTGGTATTTTATCTTATTTATTTTTTATAACATTTATTACTGTTTTTAACAATAAATAATGGTCTAACCAATTATATTTATAAATAACATTTTATTTATTATTATTATCATCAAGTTTTAGTTTAATCTTTTTTAGAACAAGTATTAAAAAAATTTTTTTAATTATAAAACCATTGTTATGATTTTATATACAGTATTTCAACAATACGATTATTGATTATTATTATTATTATTATCATCGGCGACGTATAATTATTATTTATTTATATTTGTTGTGATAAAATAACAATAAAACATACGATGTATTGTTTTTTTTTTAATAAAATCCATTATATCTTTTTTTTTTTTTTTTCAATAAGTTTTAATAAGTCTTTATTGATTTAAGATTTATTTATCGTAAATATTTCTGTATTTATATAAATGAACCATGTGAAATTTGTTATCAAGATAAAACCGTAATGTTATTGTTATGGTTATAGTAGTATATATTATAAAAAGATATCCTACGTACTGTTTGAAATGCTTATGGTAAATACGGCGATTTATGATTTCTTTTTTGTGTTCTTTGTCAAATGATAAATGACGCATCATACGGTAGATGCCAGTTCTTTTCAATGGAATCCGAATCCAAACTTTCATGCAATCGTAGTTTGTCATTATTTGGTTTATTCTAAAAGATTTATTGTGTGGCACCTTTTGACAATCTAAAAATCGGAAAAAATGGATTCTTCTTTTTTTTTTCACTGCATATTTTTCCATGTAAAAATAAAAAAAAAGTTCAAATATCTCTATCGAACCATAAACAACGTGTTATAAAGGAAAATTTTTGTCTACTGTAATATTTCAAGAAAACGATGATTATAAAAGTACTCAAAAGGTGGTACTTATAACCGAGAGTAGGTAAGATTTTTTTTTTTTAAAAAAAAAAGTGATGTCCCAATGGTTAGAAAATAAGCATTCCCAGTTTTGGCACACTTGTAAAACCGAGATTCATCTTGAAGAAAATATTTCAGATGTAGGGACACATGGCGTCTTAATTGGCCTCAACGATCCTGAATGATGTGTGCATCAAAGGTTTCAACATATTTGTCCATTTAACAAACATTGTATTTTTTTTATCTTGCAAGATAATCTTTATCCAACAGAGATAATAAATGTATGTTTGTTTTTAATTATTTTGTTACCACACACACAATTATGTAGTGTGTACGCCAAGATGTCGTCAATTTGTAATTTTCCGGAATATCCAATGAATTGTCTATTCTCTCAACGAGCGTTTTTAAGTGGTCAATAAACCAAGCGCTGAACGGGAATGGATTTACTGCGGAGGCGATACTTTGACATATTCCATTATTCGTCTATGATGGTAATACATTACACATACATGATCGATCTTTTGTTTTTCCAAGGCACTTCTCACCCTTTTCGAAAACATAAATAAAATCCGAATAGAACACAAACAGGATGCGTATTTAAAAGAAATTATATATTGGATTCATCAACTTCAAATAATATTCGGAAAAATAGTAAATTTTGTAATAACAGACGATTATGGTATTCAGTTTAATGTATAGGCCAGTAACAAGCCGGGATTTTACACGTTATTCTAAGGAGTTTCTAAAAAAGTTATCACACATTTGTTCGGTAACCGAAAACGGCATTGCATTGTTCGAGAAAAGCTAAAAAAGAAGGATCAGCGGCGAATTTAAAATTGAACATATATAGATGAAAACTTGTTTAAGTAATACATTTTGTTTAATGGTTTGTGGGCAAACATAAGAGTAAGCATTTTCTCGCAAACCGAACAGTATGTGATGCTGATGCGATAAACTCTGCCTTTTGTTTTTCGCTGAAACTTGGAAACGAGTCCAAGATTTACATTCTTTAAAAACACTTTACATCTCTCACGATACCATTTTTAGCATATTATTCCGAAACATTATTTTCCATAACTTTGTATTACCTGCCAATATTCCAACGAGAAATTCTGAGATGAATCAAACATTTTCTACCACTGAAATTGGTCCCGAGGTGATTTGTGTGTCAGACACGAGAGGCATAAGGTGCTATTGCGATTGGCGAGTAGAGATTCGTGGTGAGTTTTATACGTTTTTTCCTCATTCAACGGGTGATTCTTTTTGAAAGAATGACAAAAAAGTTTTTAGACCCTAAAATTACTGCAAACCCATAAAAATGATGATACAATAATTCGTTTAGTCAGGACCGCGGTTTAAATCGTATTTTGAAAAATAAATTACGCGAATGCTAGCCTAAATAAAAACACCACAAGTAATCATTATCATTAAGAGCAGTTTTTATTGGATCCAGGATGTCCCGGCGAAGAGGTATTCCTACGCGATTTATATCTCATAAACACGGTGGTATGCTTTGTGGTCTTTTTGATGATCACCGGATTATTGATTTGGCGAACGGCGGTGAGGGGCCAAAAATTGATCGCCAGAGATCCGCTGAAGGAGATGGGAATCTTACGTCCAAGACCATTAGAATGTTTTCTATTATTAAACATGTTTCATGTTTGTGGTGAGTATTAATTATCCTGAATCGATTTGATGTTAACATTATTGGAACTTATATTCTCTCATCCACTTGCAAAGCACGACTCCTGTACTCAGTCTGCTTATTGAGTGGCTATATACCAAATAGTTTGTTGAAAGAACGTAAGAATCGACTTACTATTAATTAATCATTTATTTTTCAATTGCCACATTTCGATTTCTAAACCATTTATATTTCACGTGAATTTAGTATTCCATGATGTGACCTTCACGATTCTATTGGCTTCTCTGACCTTATATTTGATTGGACTAATATACACTATTCCAAGATCTCACACCTCACATCGTCATCTTAATTCTTACACTCGACCATATCAGTCTTCTTCATTGGATGCAAGAGGAGTCTGGATTCCGCAACCGATGATTGTTGACGCGTTCGGGTTCTTTGTACTATTAGGCCCAATTGTATCTTTGAATGCATTTGCAATCCTCTCGGGTTTTTATATGGACCATGGTGAACCTGAGAAAGCAAGTTTTTGGATAACCTTACATTACATTGTCTGGAGCTTCTTTTGCTGGGTCATCATCGCTTCCTTGGTTTACTTTGGAAGCCGATTGACCGGAATAATATTGAGGCACATTGAGGTATATAATTTATTGGCACGATGCCGTTACCGTTTTTCTCATTTCACAATCATCGTCATGCTTATTTTCGTGTGACTCTTGTCATTGATGTAGGATACAAAAGAAGCGGGTCGCGCAAAACCGATGAAATTAAGAAACTTGGAACAAGGATTAAAGAAGGTTAGATTCCAAGTCGATAGTGTGAAATGAGATATTAACAAATCTTTGAAAATCTAACGTTCTATTCAATTATCAGCTACGACTGATACTCTCGATAATTGTTAGCGTTCTTGTGTACTTTGCCATATCATCACTCATATTTGGATCATTTAGAAATTTCATATTGACCTTCTCGCCATTTCTGTCTCATGCATTGGCTGCTTCGTGGATCCTGATCGGTGAGTGGATGTTATACCCATCGACTGACTATCACCGTCTGCAATTAGTATATATTATTTACAATATTTTGTCATTTATCCAGTTCCTACGATGAACGTCGTCATAATAACGATATTGGCCATGGAAACAAAGTAAGTGGCTGTGGATTGTATGCGAACTCGGGAGAATTTGGCGCATCAATTTTTTTTTTTCGGTAGAACCTTATTTAACCATGTTTCGAAATTTTTTCTTTTTAGCAACAGAGAGCCTTTACAGATCCTCCCTCAGACCAATATCTCCCCCATCGAAATTCCAGTTCTACCATATGATAGCACATCTTCAAAAACCGATGAAGCTGAGTCATACCCAATGAGGCCAATGAATGCAATAGCGCTAGAGGCAACCAGATTTACATCGTCAAATGATGACTCCAAAATTTCCGAATTAAGTTATCAACAAAGATCTTTGTCACAATCGCAAATAGAATATTTGCAACGAAACAGTAGTCCTACCATTTCTGACCATAATCAACGTCAACCAATGACACCATCTTCAGCTCTAGCGCGTATCACCGAACCGCCCTTATCGCCAAAATAACAGTAGTCCTATCGATCAAATTTTGGAAAATTTCTCTTTTCACACCTCGTTTCTTTTTTTCGGCAGTCCACTTGAAACAAAGGGCTTAAAGCAAAACAGCGAATGATCTTGACTTTTTACAATATTGATGTTAGTTTGACATCAAAAAATTCGTAATTTTTATCGTAGTACTCCTTTTTCAAGGAACGCTTGAGATATACATTTCTGTTGGGTGGAGGTGTATATCCTAAAAATTTTCGTGTGTGGAAAAATTCACCGCTTATATCTTTTATCGTTCATCCGTCTTTTCGTTTAACAATCAATACATGTATATATATATACATACATGCATACAAAAAATTTAATTTTCGTCGATTGTTTCTCCTTTTATGGTATATGTAAAACACTGAGGAGCAAACATACGATGAATTTTCTCCCTCCTTGTATTTTTTCTCCAAAAGAAAAAAAAAATGGTTACGCTTTGTTGTGACTGCCCATTTCTCTTTTGATCCTCCTCGCGTCAAATAAGAAATCGGTGGTACCCTTTTCTCTTAGATCATACTCCGAATTTAACTTAAAGATACAAAAAAAAAAAAAAAAAAAAATTCTATTCGTGCTTTTTTCAATTTAATTCAAAAGAGTACAATTTCTCTCTTATTTTTTACTTAAACTATCCCCCTCCCTTATGATCATTTTTCCTTCTTGTATTTTTTCAAGTCCAATATATGTAGGTCTCTATTTTTTCATACCGTTTTTTTCATCGTTTATCATATATATATTTTTTCCCTCAATTATGGTCATCTTTTTTGACAATGATTTGTACACTAACACCACCACTATTAGAAGAAACTCTCACAAAATAAAATTATTGCATGATACTGTAAGATGTTCATAATTCTATGAAGTTTGGTGGGTGGTAAAGGATTATCTTCGAGAGAAAAGATACCCGATTCTCGCCAAACAAATTAAGCCTTTTTTTTCCTTTCAACATATATATGTATACGCGTAAAATTACAATTTATATAAAATTTTGATTTTCTCCTACATACATTTTATCAATGGAAACATGAAGCGCACGTCATGTCAGGTACATGTATTTCGTGAGTGCTACCTTTTTTTTTTAAGAAAAAAAAAATATGATTAAAGGATGTTGTAGAAGATTGCTAATAATTTAAATGCATTAAAGTAAAAAAAACAAAAAAACTTTTTATTAAAATTTACTTGATATTAAATAAATGTGATGATACAAAAGATTTTATTACAATCTACAATAAATTAAAACTATTAAAGTATATTATTACTATAATAAAAATCTATTCTAAATAAAAATTAAAAGGGATTATTGGTTATACAAAAAGTTAAACTTTTTTATCCCATTAAATATGATTATTATAATTAACAATTTTAATTAATTTAAATAATTTAAATAAGATACTATTTACTATATTCTTTTGATCAATGTATTGATCCTATAGGAATTGGTATAATATTAAAGTATGATTCTGTATAACTATGAATTTTTAAAAATCTGAAAATATAAAGTTTAATATAAGAAGATTTAATTTTTATATACAGAAGATAAAATGATTTTTTTTTTTTTAATTTGAGATTTTATTTTCAAGTTTTAAAGTTTTTTGAGAACAATTTATATATATATATATTTTTTTTAAATTTAATTTTTTTTTTCAAATTTGGATTTTTTTTTTTTTGGAATTCATAATTTTTTTTTTAGAATTGAAATCTTTTTTTAATTTCTATTGTTTAAATAAACAAATACAGTTGACTTTATCTGTTTTTATATTAAAAATTATATATAAATTACTTATTACTGAAGATCCTAATAGTTATGAATCTTTTGTAAATTAAATATACAATGTATAACAAAACTTTTTGGAATTTTTTATTTGTTATTCAAAAATTATTGCATAAAAATTAATAAATAATATATCAACATAAAGCTTAGAATCTAAAGTTTATAATAATATAAATTTTACATAAATGTTTTTTAAAATTTGATTTGAAATTTTATAATTTTTGAATTTTTAAATTTTAAACATTTTTTTTTATAATATCAAAAATAAATATAAAATTTTATAATTTTATAAATTTAAATAAAATAAATTTAAAAATTAATAAATAATAAATATTATATTATATCTTTTTAATAAAAAAATTTGTTATACACTATATATATACAATTAAGTATTTGTATTTATATCAATTAGAACTTAATTAAATATAGATCTTATTAATGTTAAGAAAGAAGTATATATTTTTAAAATTCAAGAAGAATTTTATTATCAAATTAGTTCACTTATATTTCATTCAGATCAAGAAACAAAATTTGCTCAAATTTATTTTTATAATTTTATAAATTATATTAATCAAGTTAATAGATAGTATAAGATAATAAACAATTTACAAAATTATAAAATATTAAATAAACTTTAAAGAAATTAATTGATATTAATTTATTTATATATATATCTATAAATATAAAAAATAAAAAAAATCTAAAAATCAAGACCTATGGGTCTATAGTACAGTGGTAATGCTCCATAGGTCACCAGGTAAAGGTCTAGGATTCAAACCCGCCTGGTTACAAAAATTTATCACCTTCATGATTGGTTGACCAGCTACCAATTCATGTTATACCCAATCAGCTGACAAAAATCTATCTCCAAATTTAATTAGGCTGCATGAAGATGGAACCTCTGGTCTTCCCGACGATCGCGGGCTGAAAACAGGTCGAAGC